CACACACACTATATATATATATATATATATATATATANACTATATATATATATTATATATATATATATATATATATATATATATATTATATATATATATATATATATATATATATATATATATATATAGGTATGTACTACACTCGTGTAGCGTTCGGTCATTTTCAGTGACTAAACCATATCCTTTCACCTTTGCAGAGGTCTGGTCAGAGCCCATTCAGACTAGACGCTGAGGGATTGGGAAAATATATCCTACCTTCGGTAGGTTTGCGCTATGCGGCTGGAACTGTGAAAGCGTTCCCTCGGCCGGTGAGAGAATACTATATAGCTCAAGGGAAAACAGGTGTGTGTTATCCGAGCGTCCAGCACTATTTCGTTGTTTTATTTTTGTTGTATGTGATAGGCGTTTAATTTGTGTTGATATAATCATTAGCGCCGCCGTTCTATAGATGAATGTGAGATAGCATATCGCGAAACAGGTATGCCTTTCCATTTTCCGTTGTTACATTTTTACACTAGTTATGGTTGATTCTATTGACCTTCTGTATGTAATATGCTTGTTTTGTATGCTTATATTTGCTAGTGGCTTGCTTCATGGTTCGACCTATGAAACGAAATCAGATGCGTCTTCCGAACTTTTATTTCATTCGTCGAAGGTTTATATCTGCTACTGAATGTCTGGGAGTGTATGTGACATGATTAATGTCTGTGTAAATTTAAAAGTGACAGAAGTTTAAGAATGCGAAACTGTAGTTATGAAAGCAGGCGACTCTTATGAGCCTCTATTTATTCGATGTAACTCGTTTGAAGAGCTTCAATGTAGACGATGGCGTGCCTATTTGTTGGTGTTTGTTTGCTGTTGGTGGATCTAGGATGTGTTGTGGTGCCAAGAGGCTGGTTGTATTTTGTCACAGATTCGTAGGGAGTAGCGTTCGCATGCGAGAAGATTTGGAGTCGTTTTCGTGATGGTATGTCAGATTCGTATCTTCATTACAATGGCCTGATCCGTCCAACGCGTGGACAGTGGAATTGAAAGATCTTGTTAGAATACTCTTCTTCACTGAGCACACCTGTCAGGAAATATTGCACACACACCAACTACTGGAGATTATATGACTCGCCAGACATCATTTTTTTTTGTCCCGATTCGCTCTAAGTCTATATGTATCTCTCATGGCTTCGTTTTTCATCTCACTTCTGTGACGTTTCCAATACCACACCACTCTCAAAGTTGGTTACGACCTCCCTCTCGCAACACACAACGTACTACCCACAGGTGCAGTGCCAACAACCGAAGCGACTATACCAGAAGTGAGTGTGAAACGTCTGGAGGAAGAGGTGAAGGCCCCGATCAATGGCTCACTTATCACCACCAACGTGGACGATCCGAAACCGGTAGTCAACTACTACCAGACACCAGCTATGCGACCTTTGTTCCTGTGCATGGTCTGGGCAATGAAGATTAAGATCCGCACCAAGCACTTACCTATTAGAGTAAGTGGATGTGT